TTGGTTGAAAACTTAACTATTAAGACAAGCTAATGCTATCTCCACAATACCATGGTTTGAGCACTTATTAACTCAATACATACATAGAGTTGAAATTTTTTTTCTATTATTCTTGTTCATCTCCATATGTTTTCCAATCAAACTTAAAGAAACTTCTAAAAGGCAAAAGAGATAAAAGGGAAAATTGTGGGGAAGGAATCATAGTAGATAAAGGTGGAATATTACTAGATCTACTCATCTACAAGAAAACAACAAGATGAAAAGTTAAAGGAAAGAAGGGAAAGGATGAATGGGAGAAAGAGGGTAGAAAAAATAAAGGGAAGAAAAGATGGAAGAGAAATGGGGACCAAAGAAAAGGGTAAAGAAGGAAGATCTACAAGAGGAAAGGAGAAGGAAAGGCAAATAACAATCAAGATTTTCACTCATACCTGAACAATCAAGATTTTCACTCATACCTGAACAATCAAGATTTTCACTCATACCTGAACAATCGAAAAAGAAAAGGAAGAACAATCTAATCACTCTCCAAAATCTAGGGCTTGCGAAACAAGAAATGAAAAGAGAAAGCAATGGCGACAAAGCATCCACCAGCCCACCGGCAACAAGTCAAGACGAGGTTATGAGGAAGGAGGAGAATAGAGATCTGCAATATGAAATTGTAGGCTAAAATTTGATCGAATTTCTTGAAATTTAATCAAAACGAAATTTCAACTTATACCATTTTGATCAACTTGAAAAGCCGATACATACCAATCGTACTGACCAATACGAACGGTACTAACAACACTACTCACTCCCCCATTAGCCCTAAAAAAGGAATTAAAATTAATATTTTTAAAATTTAAACAACATCAATATCGTCGTTTGTAACACGTCAAAAGGTGGCATAATTTTAGAAAATGCCAAGCCATGAAAATGATGTTTAGATTAGTATTATATATCGTTAAGTGACCACCACTTATTTTATTCGGACCTAGTAGATATTATCTCAGGGTCCAAAACATTGCATAATTTAGAAAATTTTAAATTATGAAAGTAGCCTTAACGATTTATATGAAATTACTAAGAATGATAGTGACCATTTAACAACTTCATTACAAGCAATTATAATAAAATAATTCAACAAGGAGGACGCATGTTTTCTATTCGAACATGCAAAAATAATAATAATAATAATTTGAAAAGGAGTTTCAACTGCAAAACACTGTTCTCTCCACAAAGAGATAGGTTCTTCATGAATTATAAGTGGAAGAGAAAAATATAATTTCTCCAATAAGAGGAAGCACTTTTTTGCAAAAGTATATATTTTTTTTAATCTGTCAAATTTAAATTTAGAAAGGAAAAGAATGATCGGCTGAAAAAGAAAGATAAACGATTGGGGCAGGCCTTCCTCGTCCCAGATCCACTATTATTTGGGTCATTGAAACTCTAAATAAAGAAAAAATACATTTTTCTGGATTGGACCTCAGGAAAACTAGAAAAGAGAAAATAAAGTTATTGAATATTGAACCCAAACCCGAGATTAAGATCAGGCCCAAGCTCAGGTTCAAACCCAGGCCTAAGACCCAGCCCCAAATATCGCTACATACAAAAACCTAAAACCCCCGATAAAACGAAATCCATCCTCGTTTATTTTAGGGTTTGGTATTTGGAGAAGCAGAGAGCCGCCGTCGCGACCGTAGAAGCAGCAGAAATGGGTAAGAATGAATCGCCGGAAACATGAAACTCTTGTTAGCTTGAAAGCTATGGTTTTTTTTTTTTTTTTTTCTCAACAACGTTAATGGATCTCTTATTTGCGTTTGTTTTGTGCTTCTGTGGTCTTAATTACAACAGCGAAGATCAAGGTGCACGAGTTGAGACAGAAATCGAAAGAAGATCTCTTGAACCAGTTGAAGGATCTTAAGGCGGAGCTCGCTCTCCTCCGTGTCGCCAAGGTCACCGGCGGTGCTCCTAACAAGCTCTCCAAGATGTAAGCTTTGTTCTTGTATACTTTGGCATTTTGGGGAGTGAATCGTTCATCTTGTTGTGTTGTGATATATGTTCGTTGATATTACGTTTTCGTGTGGATGCAGAAAGGTGGTGAGGTTGAACATTGCCCAGGTGTTGACAGTGATTTCACAGAGGCAGAAGGCAGCACTGAGGAATGTATACAAGAAGAAGAAGTTCTTGCCCCTTGATCTGCGTCCCAAGAAGACCAGAGCCATCAGGAGAAGGCTTACCAAGCACCAGGTACTGATCTTCTTCTGATTATGACTTTTGTGCTCCCTGACTACTGAAAATCTATGTAATGATGGATTTATATTAGAAAGTATACTCCTTGAGGACTTAGTTACCCTGCTAAGCGGTTAGAATAAATTATTAGAATTTGTAGCCTTGAGAATTAGTGAGCACTGAATATTTGACCAGGTTTCTTATTTACCCAACACTCGCAATGCTCTTTGGTGTCACCATTCCTAGACATGCTGGCTGAAATTGGCAAGAAAAAGGGTTGCTCATATATGGAATTGAAGATTGTAGGATGTTTAATTCTGGGGTCATGGACCTTTTGTTTAGCTCATATTTGTCTTGCATCTTTTTACTGAACTAGGCTGTGTGTTTTTGTTACCAGCTCGCAAAAGCTCCTGTCTTTTCTGTCTCACTTATTTATGCTATAGCTGTCATGTTTCCTTGTGAAATTTCAAAAGCATGTCTAGAGACTCTATTTACATT